CTGCTTCTGCTAAGAGCTGGACCCCTGGGTAAGACATGGATGCTGGCTTGGTCCGAATTGCTCTTGGGCTGCCTGGAGCGCACCCCTGCCCCTCTGTGGGGAGGGGGTAGGGCTGCTCGCTTGGGTGGTGGGAGGGCTCGCCTCACGGTCAGAGGTGGCCGCCTCGCCGGGCGCACCCCTCCGCAAGGAGACCTGCAACCATGGCGCTGTGCGACGACCCCCTGCGGCCCCACCGGAGCCAGCCAAGAACGAGGCCTGGGGCGCTCCCCTCGCCACGGCTGCATCTGCCTCGAGGCGTTGGCCAGGGCCAAGGCGCACCCCGAGGACACGCCCAGGCGCTCAGCCGTGAGGCCAACGCCGGGTTGGGGTCAAAGCTGGAGTCCCCCAGAGCTGGCCAGCCTGGAGAATACTAAGACGAAGCCAGGAGGATGAAATCGGGTGAGGATGAATCGAGAATCTCTGAGATCCAGCGGTTCTGGAGGATGTCTCGGGCGCCGCGGCCTTCTCAAAGGTTTCAGGACGCTCTGAAGCGTTCCGGAACGGTCTGGAACGGACTTATCATCCTCACCCCAGCCCCGTCCGAAATACGCAGAGCCCTCTGGGACGCTCTGTACAGAGAGCCCTGGAGCGATATAACATCCTGGCGTCGCAGAAATTGCCAAGACGCCCAAAGCGTGTGCGGCCCAGCTGAAGTTTCGTGTCTGTCCAGGCAAGTGTGCATGCATGCGTGGATCTATTGACTCCGACATGATGAGGAAGAGGCCTGGAATACCAAAAGGTACCCATACCGTCACTCCCCAAACATCTCCTGGGGTGCATTCTGACCAGAAATTCGAGGCGGATCCAGCGGTGGCGACGAGGGCCTACCAGAAGGCCGAAAAAGGAAAAACGGGCGAAGGGTAGCGGTATGGGCACAGTCGAACCTAGGCCAGAAAAACATCCCGCAAGAACTCGTGACCCTCCGTCTGCCAAAACACACACAGAAAATCCAGAGATACCCTCCCCAGGGTGCACAAGAACATCCAACAAACACGAAGAGCACTAGGGTACCCCCCCCCCCGAACCGACTTCGATCTTATACCTCGGTCCGACTGTACCTTTCCTCCTCTGGGGAGGGGGAGAAGGATAACTGCTCAACTCCCAATGCCCCCTCTTGAGGTGCAGCTCTCAGCCCAGGCCGCGAAGCGACGATGCGTGGCCCTCTTCGCGCCCGCGCCGGTGCCCCAGGCTTGTTGCACTACACCCCTCGTGCCACCAGAAAAACGCAGAATAAGGAACGAAGGGGCTGCTCTGGCCATGGTGGGCTTGGGCCACACACAGGTTCCACGACAGAAATCTGTACTCCAGAGCCCACGGCGGTTTGTATTCCAGCGTCTTGACTGCGCCCCTCCCCCCCGAGGCCCCTGGCGTCCCAATAGTAAACAAAAAAGCGGCGGGCGCTCTCCTCCGCAATTTCGGCGACCACGGGCCGCCATGGCGTCCGAACAAGCAAGAAAGCGGCGGGCGCTCTCCTCAGCAATTTCGGCGACCAGGGGCCGCCTTCGCTGAGGGTCCCGAAGCGGTGCGGTGACAGACCTTGCCGGGACCTCGAAATCCGTAAAGATCTCACCGCACGCTACGTGACCGCACCGTGCGGGGTAGCTGATCGACGTCCAGAAACAATCGAATGTATCTGGCGAAACCTAAACCATCTAGCGAAACTGACTGGCGACTGCACCGGCACACTCGAGTGCCAATGCCGAGTGAACTGGGTTAGATTCCCTCGGTCGTCGCATCTGGATGGGCGTTCTCTCGATGCCTCAAATCCCCACGGAGTCACCACGCGTGGTCACCGCACCGTCTGGGGGCCCTCGATGTCGAGACGAAGCGGCACAGAAACAGCCCGCGGCGACAGACCGGTCAGTGGGGTGGGGCAGTCGGGGGCCCCGAGGCCCACGCCGCACAGAGGCCACGGCGTCGGAGCCCTTGCTACGCCCAGGAGGAGGAGGAGGAGGAGGAGGAGGAGGAGGAGCAATGAGCAATGAGCAGTGCGCGGGGAGTCCACATGAGTTACTCGATTTCATACCATAAAACTGGCCATGAACTCAGCGCAACCCGACTTCATGGGGGAGCGGGTTAACCTTGAAAAGAGACAGGGGGACCCCCCTCTGGCAGGGCCAGCACAGCCCCTGAGCGACGGCGAACCCCAGGCGCCGCGCAGGCGCACGAAAGGGACCGTCTAGGGGACCGACGCACTGGGTCTGCTGTGAGAATATTGCTTACCCTTTCCTCTTCTGCGTGGAGCCCGTTCAGCCGCCACTACTAAGGGGATCCGGGATTCGAATCTGTATCGAAACTCGTGGCCTCAAAGGGGTCTGGGATGGCCCCTCGGGCCACTAAAGCTGCTAATCGTTCACTACCTGCAAAGGCCCCTCTACTCAATAAACGTCGCTCACGGGGGCCCTCGCGCTCACGCTCACGCGAACGACTCCTGTCGTTCCTTTTTTTTTTGTCCTCAGCTCTACTGATCCTGATCCTTGTCCTTGCCACCGCCCTTCTCGAATATCGCCAGGAGCCTCGCCGCCTCGCGCTCGAGGGGGCCCCTTGGGGCAGGCCCCACCAGCTGCGTCGCCTTGCCCTTGTCCGAGTTCAGAAACTGAATCGACAGCGACCGCGCCTCCCTCCCTGGCTCGTCGTATGAGAAGGCGAACGTGAGCCTGCCCTTCTTCTCCTCCGCCGCCACCGTGGCCCCGTCCTGGTTCTTCTTCGGTTTGAATTGTAACGGAAGTGCAGCACGTGCTTGGCAACATCCGTCGGCAGCTTCTGGGCCAGGTGCTTCTGGAAGTACTCGTAGAAGACCTTCTTCTCGCTCTCTTTGTAGGTCTCGCTGCCGTCCAGGAAGGTGTCTATCTGGTTCGCCAAACTCATGGCGAGCGCCCCCCAGACCTGCACGTGTGGCGGTCCTCTTGCCCTGGAATCGACGTCTTCGCCGGCCTGCTGGCGCTCCTTGAGGTTTTTTGAGACCTCGTCGTACTTGAGCCCCGCGTCGATCATGATCTGCGTAAAGTGGTTCGCGGTCTCGGTAGTCTCCCACGTCTGGTAGACTGCCCCCGCGAGGTTGGCCATCTCGCGCGCGTCGTTGAGGCGCAGCTTTGTGATCACCTTCAACAGCGCAGCCTGCAGGTCGCCCTTCTCCTTCTTCTTGCTGCCCTTGGCGCCCTGCTTGGCTGGTGGCGCCGAGCCGTGGGCCCCATCTGCTCCGCGTTTCACTGTCGCCGAAGGCCCCTGCATCCAGCTCGCCGCCACCGCCTGGGACATGGCCAAGGGCGGCGCTCGGAGTCTCCGCGAGGCGGCGGCGCTTCCGAGGGAAAACTGGGTCAGGGAGATGGCTGCGTAGATGTCGGCACAGGGAGTCCAAGTCGTAGGCCTCGAACTCGCATAGGGGGCACTGCAGGGTCGACGGAGGTGATAGAGGTCGTAGCGTCCTACCCCCACCGAAACGACAATGCCCCCGTTGTACGGCTAGTGCTAGATGCCGAGCTGCGCAAGCCCTGCCCCAGAAGACTTCCCGACAGCATATACATGCATTGCATGGTGTGAGGACATGGCACAACGATCGATAATCACGTTGAGAACGCATATGTGCCATGAGCCCCTGTTTCGTAATAAAACGTTCACCACGTTCAGCGGGGCATCGGGGTCCAAGAGTTCCTCATGAAGAGCCTCAGGAGCCTTTTTCCGTGTACTCTGGGGGCGCGAACCGCGGACCGAACGTACATGATCGAATATCAGTGAAATCGATATTCTCGAGCTCACGCTGAACCTCAGGGCCCCGCAGGAGGCCGGGGCGGGCGGCGAGACATCCTAGAAGATCACCGTGGTCTGGGAGGGACTCCTGAGCCCATCGGAGATCATCAACGACGCGTCTGGCCCACGGAGAGGCCGTTGAAGTGAGCAAGCCGCCGACCATGGCAATGGGGGCCATGCCTTTCTCGAAGGCCACGGGGCCGAAGAGAGCGGGGAGCAACTGGAGGTGGCAGGACGGGTGGCGGGACCAAACTTTGTACCAATTCAGACGACGAGTCCCGAGCTCGATGTGCGTCTCACAGATGCGCCAATGCCTGAGGACTCCCTTTGTCGTCGACGTGCGGGTCGCTCCAGACTCTGTCTGCCAGCTGGCCCTTCCACGCATGGCCGCGCGGGCGAAGTGCGCCACCGCGGCATCTAAACAGGCACTCTGATGCTTGGTGATCAAGAAGGCCTCCAGACCACACAAGGCTGAATTCTGAACCAAAGACATAGGAATCGAGCGCGTGAACTTCCACGGCAGCCGCAAAGACCAGAAGCCGCCCATCGAATGAAAAGCGGCGCGAGCTGCCTGGTGACAGCGTGCAATCTCCTGGCTGGACGCCTGGGACATCGCGACGTGGGGCCCAAGATACCTGACTTCCTCCTTGATTTCCCCCGACAGGAGCGCCCGACCAGGCCCGCGGAGCCACTTCTTGCAAGTCAGCCCCCCCCCCCCCCCCCCCGATCCAGAAGGCCAGCTCCTGTTTATCCCGGTGTTGTTTGTACCCGTAGTCCTGGAGGAGGGGGTCGAGACAGTCATCTGAATACTTGAAGTTTGGCCAGGAAGCTCCCCATGGAGTCTCCATGTACAATGGGAGTGTAGCGGATAATATCGTCAGCATACTTGTACAAGCTAAGGTCGACCTCCTGGCCGTCCCATTCTGCGCGGAGGAGCCTGAGGGGCGGATCGACCTCGCGCAGAGCGTCCGTCCACTTCGACACAGGGCGGCAGAAAGTGGTGGAGAAAGCTGCCACCATGAACGGGTCCCCCATGACTCCTCCCACTCCTGTCTTTACTGCTAGGTCCCCTTCATCACTAGGAAGTAGAACGACAGCATCACGATACGTATGCTTACAAAGCGCAACATGTTCAGGCTGTACAATAGTAGATATGGCATGGCCCATGGCCCCCCAGCCAGAGCTCCCGAACGCATTACTCATATCCTTCAGACTGCCTCCAAAGCTCCACCCAGCCCGTCGAAGTCTCCAGCCCACCACCTGCGAGGCCATGATGGCCCCTTCCCGACGACGACGACGCTGGAACCCGTAACCTTCAGGAGGCAACTCATTGGGCAACAACCCCGCGAAGAAGGATTTCCCCACGACTGGAAGCACGTGGGCCACCATTTTGCCCTTAGGCCCAGGCTGGGCCGACTTGTACAAGGCGCACCCCCGACTTACATTCCAGTATAAGGGGGCCAGGTCGGTGATCCTGATTTTCAGCATCCCGTCCAGGAGGGTCTCCAGAAACTGCGCGGGCGCCTCGGGGGCTCGTGGGGCTCCAAGACCAGGGCGCTGGCGTTCCATACCTCGTTCAGGGTGAAGGAGTTGCCACCAAAGTTCGAGTGGGGCCGATCCTTCAGGAACAACGCGGCGTTTCGGGGCCCGACGAACGTATCTGCGAAGGCGTTGAATATCCTTGTATCCTAGCTGCCGGGGGCGGTCCTCATAGCGGGTCATGCCATACATCTGATTCATGTCCAAATCATTTCGAGCGGCGCGCCAGGCGCCCAAATCGATCGGGTGGACCTGCATCCCGCCGTCGCCGCCTGGGAGGGACCAGACGGCGAGCCACTCCTCATGCGTGATGGGAGCTCCGCCGGAACGCCGCCCGCCCCGTCTTTTTGCCGAACGACGACAGCGGGCAGCACGGCGGGCCCACCCCATGGCCTCGCAGAGGTTCCTCTGGGCCCAAGCGTCGTATGAGGCCTGGACGTAGGACTCCCTCACAGCACGTACATGTCTTCGTCGAAGGAGTGTGAGGCGCTGGGAGAGATCGCGGAGGTCGTACTCCAGCTGGTCCAGCTCGGTGTCGTCCACGGTCGCGCGCGAGGCGCGCATGTCGATCCTCTTCTGGGGCATGTCTCTCCTCAGCTTCGCCTAGTGCGCATATTCGTCGGGGAGGCCCGTCGGCTTCGTGAAATACTCGGCGCCAACCTCGACCATGCAGCGCTCCAGCAGCTCAAAGGTGTGATCGGGGGCGTCCTGGCCGTGCGCCGTGATGCGCTTCTCGACGTGGTCATCCAACCACTGAGCGACGCCACTCACGAAGTCCACGCGTTGGTCGCCACTCTTGACCGCCGCCATGAGGGCTGTCATGTCCCACTTTGCCGTAACTGGTTGGTCTTGGCAATCGGGTGGTCCCCGTGGGTGGGAAACTTCAAGATATACTGGTACGTGGTCTCGTGGTGGTCGGCCCCTCTGGGCCTGTAGCTGGGCGTCCACTCTGTGCAACGTGTGGCACTTGACTACATGGGGCGCCCAGCCCAGTGGAAGAAAAACGAAATCGATGAGGCTGCTCGGGCACTCAGGCCCATTGCCGAAGAAGGTCGCCTCGTACCTGTTCATCGTGTTGGCCGCCAAAAGATGCTGCTGCGTGAGTAGATATTCCACCGCCTCGCCCGCGCCCAGTCGGCGCCGTTCACGTGTACGTACTCTACCTATAGCATTCGTCTCATAGTCCGTCCAGTCGCCGTCGATCTTGCGGCAGCCTAGTCCGTCATTGACGTCAGCGTAAAACAGTGGGAGACAGCGCGTCGGTAACTGTGATAAACAAGTGCGCCACCATTGAATCATCTTGGCGACCGTCTGAGTGTAACGTGGGCCTGCCCCGCGACAGCGGGGCTGGGGAGGAAAATAGAGCACGCCCACGCACACGTCCACGACGCCCTGGCGGATCCTCGCCGCCGGGCATGGTCCGCCCACGTCTTGTGGGCTGGGGTACACACGACGAACATGACGTTCACGAAAACCACGTCCAAGAAGGATGGATACGCCAGCGCTCGCGTTTGTGTACAAGCCTGGTTGTGCTGCCGCCTCGAGGGCTAGTCGCCCACCGACCCGCCTCTGGAGAACGTGAGATGCTTCACGGCAGACGTTCTGGGTGCCAGCCAGGAGCGTGAAATCCATATTTCGTGCAGCTGGCGATCTCCGCAAGGCGAACGCCTGTCGCCCACATTGGGTTCCAGCCCAGCACCCGTAGCTTGGTCATGTCGGTGGTCACCACCCCGTCCAGGAGCGACGACCGCACGGTCGAAGAGGCGCCATGGGCTGCATACTGAATTCGGAAACTCGGGCCCCGCTGATTCGAATCTCTCGAACCCAGGGGCTAGGAGGAGGAGGAGGAGGAGGAGGAGGAGGAGGAGGAGGAGGGCCCTCGCGGCCACGGAGACGTGCCGCGCGGAGCCTCCGCAAACAAAGCAGCGCCTCGTGTCCGCGGGGCTGCGGCCGAGAGGCCCGGCCCGCGGGGCCGCGGATGCGGAGAGGTTTTCCGCCCACGAGGTCCGGCTGTCGAGGGTGCCGCCATCTGCCGCACACAGCAAGCACCCGCAACTCACCTCGGGCCAGCACCAGAATGGAAGAAGAGACAACTGCACAAACAGAAACCTTTGGGAGCTCCGCGCGGATCTCTTGGATCCGCGCGGAGCGCCAACAGTGTTATGCTCATAGCGGTATTTCTTCTTCGAGCATCTGCCGCACCCAGCAAGCATCCGCAACCGACATCGGGCCCACACCAGAAAGGGCCCGCCCTTCGAGGGAGGGCCAACCGACCTCTCGCCCTCGGCGGGAGATGAAAAGCAGGGCCGCCGCCACCGAGAACCCATAGGGGGAGGACCGACCCCTGGGCGGTGGCGCGCCCGAGCGTCACCCGGTGCAGGACGGCGCTCGGGCGTGCCGCCGCCCAGGGCTCGGTACGGCCCGACGGGTTCTCGGCGGCGGTCGCCCATGTTTCTCCTTTGGCCGAAGGTCCGTGGATGGAGGCGGAAATGATGGGCATGTTTTCCGCCACCACCACCATAAGTTGGAGGGGGAGGGGGTCCTCCTCCCCCTCCTGCTCCTCGTCGTCCTCCTCCTCCTCGTCGTCGTCCTCCTCCTTCCCCCCTTCAACTTATGGTGGTGGTGGTGGAAAACAGGCCCGTCAGGAAAAAACAGCGGGGGCGGCCTCTGCCGGCGGAAGTTGGGCTGAAGGAGGCGAGAGGCGCAGACCCTCCAAGAGAGGACGACGCGAACGTACTCAGGGCGTCTGGACCCGGCCACTTTTTTTTTGATCGACGCACGCGGTGGCGACACACAGACTGCCCTACCGATGTTGATAGCTCGCAGGAGGCGCGGTGCGCATCATCGAACTCACTCGCGCCCCGACGCGAATGCCGATCAGGTCCCTCTGCTCGTCTTATCCATCTCTTCCTCGCCCTCATCCTAGCACTCCTCTCGTCTTCAACTGCCTGCCGCACACCCCCCCGTCTCAG